AAAGGATTGTGAAGTTGTCAAATTCTAGCATATTTCAAGTGGAGGGGAGTATAATCTCACAGTAGGAAGACCTTGTGCCAAGGTTCGGTTCTCAGTCGGATTCCTCAGAGTTCAAGACTTATGCACAACTGTTGATCTTCTGATTTTACGTGAAGATCATCGTCAGTTATTGGATTTCCCTTCGAGACGTATTAGTTTTAGTTGTGATAGCATTTGTATAGTGTGCTTCTGTTTTAGACTCTAGGGTGTTAGGAGCCCAGGTTGAGGGATGTGATGAGGGATTCCTTGTTTGTTCTTGTTTTATTGGGGCATGGAGGTCTGAGTCACGACCCGAGGACCTCGTAGGATCAGTTAAGTCTTGTTGAGCCTGAGCGTTGTTTTTGGTTGGTGGATTGGGGGTAAGCCCGAGTGTTCTTATCGGTTAGTGGATCAGGTGTAAGCCTGAGTGTTGTAAGTAGATAACTATGATAGGCTGTCGGAGCCAAGTAAAAGTAAGGATTAGTGTAGTATGTGGCCAGTTAGTTTTGATAGCGGTGGTGCACCAATGTGCGGGATAAGTGTGTTGTCATTTGGTCGAGAATGTTTTGTGCCGACCAAACCTGTGGATTTGGTTCAGTTTGGCAGAGGCTAGAGTTTCATCAGATTTTGGGATTTACAGGTTCCGAGTAAGGAAGTGGGGTTCCTTCCATCATGATTTAAGGAAGTTGTGCAAAGACAGTTTCTTCAGGTCGCATGATAACACCAAAATTTTTGGGTTGGCAGAATTGTCGAGAAGTGGAAGCGAGAACCGATTTCGAGGACGAAATCTAATTTAAGTGGGGGAGAATTGTAGCACCCTGCTTCCTGGTATAAATCTTGTTTATGTATTAACTATAATTTGGTTGGCCACGGCATGGTGGAGCATCAACACGACGTGGCGGAACGTTTTGGAACAGTGGGACTTAAATGACTCACCACGATGTGGCCTTGGGGGGCCACGACGTGGTAGGTGTATTAGTGAAACCCTAATTTCATGCTTTCGATCCTATATAAGGAACATTAACGCTAGGGTTTCAGCCTCCATCTTCCTCTCAACCTCAGAAACCATAACCCTAGCCTCCCTTGAAGTTGTGAGCTCATCTTTGGTGCTTATTGGTGATTTTTGAAGGAGAAGGAAGCTCTTGGTGTGGTGGTTACTTGACAAGCATCATTTCTTAAGCTAGCAAATCTCCTAGACCTTGGTGAGTGTCCAAGATTCAACTTTTTTCTTGTTATCTTGCTACATCTTTGCATTTTGTCCCCTTTTTTCCATGTTTTGATGGATTTAAGTAATGAGATCTCATAAAGTTTGCAACTTTATGAATCCCCAGGTCAAATAGAGCATTTAGTACCTTACATCCAGATTATAATCGAGTTTTAATGACATGTGTTGGGTTTTGGTTATTAAACCCTATTTTTGACCTAAAATGGATAAGGCATTGCATTGGACATGCAAGTCCATAAAGCCACGATTTTTATGGTCCCTTAAGAGTATTAAATCCTTCTTGAAACTTTGGAGGTGCAACTCTAAGGATTGAGTGCTTAATGAGAGTCTTGATGCATTAATTTACCATTAGTGGTTAGGTTTGGGACTTTGGCTTATGGAGGGGTTTGAGGGATAAAGTTGGAATCTTTATCCATCAAGACCATGAGAATGACCAGATCTAAGCTTGGGAGCTCTTGTAGTTGAAGGAAATGACTTAATGGTTTAAGATGCCTAGACTCAGCATCACGGTGTGGTTAAGGTTGACACGACGTGGTGACTTGGTCAAGACTCGCCTATTTTTTTGGTTTCTGGCCACGATGTGGCCAAGGAGGCCACGACGTGGCGATTAGTTATGTTGACCTTGACTTCCGTTGACCGTTGATTTTTTACCAAGTTTGACATTGGGTCAACCTTGAGGATTTTGGACTATTGAGTAAGATTCTATCTGGTTCTGGTGTTAGTGGATTCTCGGGAGCAAGCAGTGCAGAAAGGAGTGTATCATAGTGATTCAAGGTTCTTTGATTCAGGTGATTTTTCCTCACTGTACTTGTGGTTTGAAAGCACCAATGTCGGCCCACTAAGTTATGTATCATGGTACATAGGATGTTGTTATGTTGTCGTGATCTATTAGATCTGTATCCTAGTATATAGGATGTTGTTATGCTTTTGTGATCTGTTACATCTATGCATATATCCTTATATGAAAGGATGCGGTAGTCGTGGTATATTGGTTATCATCTAGTGGAGTTCCCTATAGGCTATATGTAGTCATGTAGGATAGCTTGAGAACTCTTGATCTAGGTTTTCTTGTTTGTTCCTTGTTTGGTTGTGGCTCTAGAGTGCGATCATCTATTCGGGTGGCTATCTCACCTTTGGTTACTTATGGTTACACATTTCATGGAGGTTAGCTGGTAGCGAGATAGTGTGATTTGAGAATACTGGTAGGAGGTAGTGAGTTGTATGATTGATGTTTGCATGTACTATGTGCCTACTTGATCCTTGATAGTTTATATGTCGACATGTGGTGGTAGTGAGTTGAGGCGGTCCTGCTTTGCGCTGTAGTCCAAGATACCCGGTTCGGGTCGGTTGTAAGTCGTAGGCACATAGGCTCATGAAGAGCGGTTAGGTTTAGGCGGTCGGCCAGCAAACCCTGGTTATTCCAGCCCGATGGCTGATTGGACCTATTGCATGTTGGCATTCTAGTCTGAGGAGTGATTGGGCTTGAGCATTCCAATCTGATGATTATGGTTCGTTATGCATACTTGTATGATTATCATATGGGGTATTTTGGGGGAAACTCACTAAGCTTTATGCTTAACCAGTTGTTTATGTTTTTCAGGTTTTATCGGTGATCGTGGGAAGGAGAAGGCGGGATTGTACACACTCATCAGCAGCATTGAGGATTCCACGTTTCTTAAATTACATTGATTTTCAATTAATATATTTAGGAATAAACGGTTTTATTAGTAATGGATTTATAATCGGGAAGTTTTACCTAAATAAAATTGAAAATTTTTTGTTGCGAAAATGGGACATTACAACTCACTTGACTTGGATGACTGGTGATTTGGGCAGAGCTTTGCATATCTTTTAAATTTTCTGTTGAAAATATCTAGGTATAGATATCACTAAGTCTTAGTCTTATGATTCTTGCGACTATAATATTGATAGTCTAGATTCCTCACTAATCTCAATGTCTACATCAAGATCTACCAAGTAAGATCATGTCGAAGGTGGGGTCCATTTGGTATACAAAGTATATTGTTTGGAAATCTCACTTTAAACACCTCACCAGATCTAGACTAGATATCACTCTCGTAAGTAGATTAATCAGTATTATGACATGGAATCACTGATAAATCTTATTTATCGATTCATAATAAGGACTATGAATATAAATATAAGTTACAGTTAAAGCGTAGTAAATGCATCTTAACTTACGGAGTTTTCTAACGAGAACCAATAATTGCGCGGGCAGAACTATGACCCGCGAGCTTCTATTTCTCCGGTTCTCTAATGCTGCAGGGCCTCGCTAAAATATTCGGGAACTAGGGAGTAGTGAGTCTAGGGGTGCGGAAAGGGTTTCTAGAGGATTGGTGATGGAATGGGTGAGAAATGAGCTTGAAAAACGACTTCTATATATATGTATGGTTACGGGGGGGTGCGTCGAGCACCTTTTTGAGGCGCGCCGCGCCTTTTTGCTGACACAATTCCATGGGTTTCTTGCCATGTTTTGAGAATGTAGCAGTCCACACTCCATGCTTCTAGAAAGTATGTGATGCGCAAATTATGTGATGCTTCTCGAAAAACTTTAAAAAATCGTATCTTTCTCATACGAGCTCTGTTTTCGACGTTCTTTATATCCACGCATAGTTATCGACGAGTACTACAACTTTCGTTTAGATTGTGTCGGCTACTTCTCACATTATTTTTAAAGTTGTATTTTGAACATATTTTGACTGTTAAAGTTCGTATAAAAAATATAACTCTCTCATACGACACCAGTTTTCGACTGTCTTTATATCTATGGAATCTTATTCATGATTCATTTTAAACTTTATATCAAAAATTTCATACACTCTGTTTTAACTTGCTATTTTAATCTTTAACCCATTGAAGGTTGTAATACCACCACAACACAATTTAGTACTCTTGGATCCTATATTTTCCATTTTTTTTATATAAAACCTTTATTCATACACACATTTCTATTTACTGTTTACGTGGCTATCATATTAATGACATGGCAATGGGTAACGGGTTAGTCTTTGTTTTTCTTAAGATGTTTTATGACGGAGGAAAATGGAGTTCAAAACACAGACTAAAAAAAAATATTAGCAATCTGTTAAGGGTTTCTAATAAAGTTTTAATATTTTGGATCAGTTTACGGTTTAATCCTAACTTTTATTTTTTGAACAAAAAAATCACAATTATTTTATATTTTTGTAAAATTAACGAAACAGTCGTTATTTTTTGAACAGAAAATAACAGATTATCGTATAAAATTAGATAATCAAGATTTTTTTGTTGAAAAAATAAATATTGGAATTAAATCGTAAACTGTCCGAAAATATTAGAACTTTATCGGAGATTTCTCTATCTTTTGAAACAATTGTAGGAAAAAATTAAAATGTTTATTGATCCAAAAAAGTTCAAGTTCATAAATTTTAAATTAGTAGAACGTTTGATGTAATAAAACAAAAAAGCTCTGTATGTGCTCTTATTCGTTCCCTAAAACAAGCCTAAGCTTCACGAAAATACAATTTTTTAATCATTTAAAGAAAACCGGATAAAGTACTTCAACATATGTACATCCTTCCCATGGCTGTGTATTTCCCTGTTACTTATCAGCAGTCTGTCAATATTTCGTCAATAGCCGGACAACACAATTTCACCTTTTTTGTCCCTTTTTTTTTTTTTCCCTTTTTTGTCAATCTTTGAGAATCTACTATTAAAATATTTTTCAGTAGTATCTTTTCTTTCACCGTTGCAAGTTTCAAGCGAAAACATGGCAGAGGATGATGAAGAGCAGAACCAAGAGTAAAAAACCATATCCCAGTCCCAATCCTTCTGAATCAAAATGAGAGTTACTACTAGACTGATATGAATATGAGTTATATCGTGTCGGGAGAAAGCGTGGGATCAAGTGTATGAGTAGTAACAATATAATAGGAAGTAACACCATCGCTTCTTTTCCAATAGTTAAAGAAGAAATAGTTTCCCCTAAGTTCTCTACAGTGGAACTACATATGACTAGACTAAGGATACCCAGTATCAAGGAAGGAACCACTGGAGATGGACCTCCGGCTGTCATTTTTCTTTATGTGTGTAAACGAACATATATTGACTGAAAAATACAACACTGGGACTAGGGATGTTGACCTTATGTGTGTTAACGAACATATATACACCTTAAACACTCACAAAGTAGGTTTTTAGTTGGCTGTTAGGTTAGGGAAGTCAATGATTTGGTGATCTGCAGATTATCCTGTCACCTAACCAAGTCCAACTTTGGTGGATTATTGTTTGGAAAGAACTATCTTTGGAGAACACATAATAAACTTTCTTAAATTTCTGTAGAAAAGTAAAGACTTATTATTAAAAATTGTACCATTTTATAAATGAAAAAGAACTAGTTGGGAAAGTAGTAAACGGATTTGGTTAATTTCGAAGGGGCTGTGCTAGAATTTTTTAATAGGCGGCGTATTAAAGTATATTTTATCTTCGAATATAATAAAGTTCTTAAATTTGAAAAAAAAAATGTTAGACTGAAAAAAATACCAACAACTTTTTTTTTCCTATTTTACCTACAATCTTATATTTTTCAAATAAGGATTGAATCTAAAAAAATTACAATATAGATATACATATCCAATTATATTTGTAATATTTTAGTAATAAAAAAATCAAAGATGAAAACATACTTAGGTTATTTTGTTTTTACTAAGTATTGTGTGTCAGAATGCACAGATCTAGACCATCGGATGGAATAAAATCAAATGTCATGATCTGAGGGTCTATGATATTACAATAGAGTTTTATGTACCATGTAATCACACAAATTTCGGCATAAGGGCATTTTAGTCAATTGAGAGAAATTTAAAAAATGAAAATTCGAGATTTATGGGATAATTAATGATTTTGATTTAAAAAATCTGATTTTTTTTCAAATTAATTCAATTTCAAACGTAAGTTGTAAGCATAAACCGATTTTATTCTATCAGAATGATATTCTGTAATTCTGTCAGAATGGTATACAACTATGAACATAATATTATAAACACATATTATCAAGACCAATAATTTTTAATGAATACAAATTTTATATAAGACGAAGTTTAATAGTTTAAAATAAGTAATTACATTCATTCTTCAAGAATACAACTATGAACATAAATTACATTCATTCTTGAAATCTCTTGCAAAAAAAATATTGGCATTCTTAAAAGAATCCTCATTCACTTTCTTGTTTCGTTTCTAGATGTCTTGTGTATGTTTGATCTCTAAGCCACTTCAAAATATGCTAGCATTCTATGAGATTGACATTTTGTGATATTGACATTCTGTCAGAATTGTATTGCATTAGAATGATTTTATACAATGAGCTGTAAAAGGAGATAAACTCGAGGATGGTAACTGATCCCTAGGTAAAACTTGAAACATCTGAAAAACATAAGAAACAAAAATCATGTTAAAACATCAGCCAATTGCAATACAACCCTTGCAAACTCATTCTTATGTGATGCTACCATAATCATTCTTATGTGATTATACCGGAAATACGATTCTAGAAGAATCATTCTTATGTGATTCTCCAAGATTATAATACTCCCTACACATTATTCAAATAGAAGAATACATTAGATACAGAATATTCTTAAAGAATGAAATAACTATGCTTAAAGAATGAAAGAATTGAAGATAAGAATACACACCCAATAATGAGGAAAGAAAGTCATTCTCACAGAATTAGCTTAATTAGCTTAAAGGGAATACACTATACAATGCATTCAAATTTCACAAAAATAAACCCATTTTAAAATACAAACCCCAACTCTAATCGTCCAATCAGCCCCTGATATATTTCATAATCGAAAAATGATTTCCTCTCTTTCAATATTGAAAGAAAATGAGAGGAATTCTTTCTTATGCTAGCATCAAGTGAGAATAACATTCTGTGAGAATACCATTATGTAAGAATACATTTATCTTCATCATTTTAACTTATGCAATGCCCTGTTTTTGCCAAAAAAAAAAATACACATTATCAAATCTTATGAAATGCAAATGATTAATTCATTTTGTAAAAAAAATATGATTCATCTTGTGATACATAAGCTGCTATTTTCATTTACAACAAATGATTCAAAGCACAAAGATTAAAAGAATATATTACTATGTTGTAGCAACTAAATTTATCCAGGTTTGCATAGGTAGATATATTGGATGCGCTTGGAAAAATATTATTCTTTTAGCGTATTAATTAACATAAAAGTTGCAATTACATATATGTAAAAATTTAATTTGAAATAGATTGGTTTGCGAATGAAAAGCGTAATGGATGCAAACTCCTATCAATTGCAAATAAAGAATAAAAAAATAGATTCCATGGACATTATTATATAATCGATTCTTAAAAAGGTCGAGTGCAGAAAAAAAATCAATTAAAAGAAAATCCAGTCTAAAACTTACATGGTGTCGAGATTCTTGTGTGAACGAAGTTGAAGATGATCGTCTATGGTGCTGATTTTACGATAACAATATATAAATGTTTCAGAGGAGCCTACGGCGGCAGAAATAGAATACGAATGATATGAGAGGCTAGGGTTAAATAGTTGGTCAAAGATATTTTTATGGTAATTTCCATGAATTAAGGGATTTTATTTAAATTATCATGCTAAAGTTACATAATTAACCTTATAACAATTTTTATTTATTTAATTATTCCTAAACTTCTATTGGTGCATTCATGCACACAATAGTTGGTAGAAACATTTGAACCTAGCTCTCTCTCTCTCTCTCTCTCTCTCTCTCTCTCTCTCTCTATATATATATATATATATATATATATATATATATATATATATATATATATATATATATATATATATCAAAGTTGTAAAAATAATTCGGCGGTCGACTGACATTAAACGATTAATCGGACTAGGTGGGGACTAGTCGGGGATTAATCGGTCACTCTAAATTATTTTAAAACATAATATATCCTAAAAAAATAAGTATTTGAAAACATAAAATTAAAAATTTGAAAGTTAGAAAACTTTTGTATAATATTTTAAAATTTGAAAACTTAAGATTTTGGTGTAATATTTGAAAATTAAAAAAAAATTGAATTTTAAAATTTTTTCCCGCGTATGACCGTCGAGGACCGTCAAGCCGAGTATGACTGATTTTGATCAATTTCCGCCAAGCACCCTAATCGTAATCGATTCAAGGCAGCCAAACAGTTATCGCCGATAAATCAACCCTCAAGACCGATTTCTACAACAATGGTATATATCTGAATTATGTATTTATATTGTTGCAAAATAAATGAATGTTATGGATGTTAATGAGTTATAAAAAGAAAGCCTAAAAGTTAAATTGACTGAATACACGATGTGAAAGGACTAATTTTGGTAACTAGACAGTGAGAAAGGACTAATTCTATAAATTTGATTTTTTAACATACAAAATAAAATCTCCATTTAAGGGGTAGTACAAATGACATAAAACTTTTTAAGTTAAAAAAAAATATATATGGGTTTTAACTTTGGGCATGTTTTAGTCTAGTAAAGTTTGTTTTGTTTAATTTATTCATTTTTTCCATTTTAGTCGGTTTCCTAATCATCTATCGATTACCTTATGCTAGTAAAGCCCTTAAGTTTCAAAAAATATTCAGATTTACCCTTAAGTTTTCAAAAATGTTCGGATTACTCCTAAGTTTTCAAAAATATTCGAATTTACTATTATTTTGATTTATTATTATTATTATTATTATTATTATTATTATTATTAGTAGTAGTAATAGTAGTAGTATTAAATATTTTTAATACGTTTTAAAATGTATAAAAATATTTTAAACAATATATATATATATATATATATATATATATATATATATTATATATATATATATAATTACATTTTAAAAAATATATGTACTTGTATTTAGTATTTATATACGTTTGAAAGCCTATGTTTTCCTTTAAAAATGTATTTATATATTAAAATGTATTTATTTGTATTTAGTAGGTATAAATGAACAATTAGTGATGGACCATTGATTTCCATTTTTTTCTAAAGCGGTTAACTAATTGACCACCTTTCAGTCACAATTGCAGTTGATTACAGATGTCTTCTAGTGTCTTTGTTTATAATATACACATGCTAGATTATTGTGGGCTAAATGATTGACTCAAAAATTTGATTGGTGTGACATGCTTTACAGGTTGCTTGAAGACGGGTTTGTCCTGGAGGTTTACCTGAGAACACAACATAGAAGAATCGTTAAAGGACGGTCGGGGGTTCTCTAGGGACGTCGCTTCGACGATCAAGTTAGTCTTCACTCAAAGAGAGATTAGGGTAAATTGTCTATGGAAGAAGATGGATCCCTTCCTTGGGCAGGAAGAGATCCTTTTATACCTGTTACTAACGGAATGAAGTGACTCTCCCATGTGGGAGTGAGACGTAGCACAATCTAATTGGGAGAAGTATGCCTACGATAACTAACTGCCAGGTGACGTCAGTTCTGGGCGTCATCAGGCTCCTTGACATGACCTGATCGGTCGTGACATAATGAGAAGATCAAGAGTATTATTCTTTCCTCGTGAGGGAAAGTGGGCTACCATCTCGGTGCTGGCTTAGTTGGGCCAAGACTGGGTCCCGGCCAAGGCCCTGTCATGATAACATCCCATCAGTGATTTACGTCAAGTTTAATGTGGCCGCATACAGTAACGTTAACAAGTCCCTTAGACCAGTAGGCTTCTACGTTAGTGACGTAGCATAGTCATTCTGGTCTACTTATAGACACGAGGCAGACAACTATTGCTAGCTTGTGCGGTTATCAGGACGGGGTCGCCGTTCTTCGGCAGTTTCATCATGAGACGTTTCGCTGCTCCTTTAGTAGCATTTAAACCCTTGTTCCTCCAGGCGTTTCCTCCTCACTCTCTGCCTTTCTCTTTTTGCTTTCTTGCTCCAAAGAACCCTTTCGACCTTTTCTTGCGTTCTTCTATGGCTACCGCTCGTCCTTTAGGAATGGAACTTACCGGTGAGGAATTGGAGTTCTTCCACTTCCGATTTGGGTTTGTACCCGAG